AAACATTTAAAATTAAAAATAAATTCAAATTTAATTAAGTTGGCTCATATTTGGCGAAAAAACGGGGAAAAATGCACAGAACGAGGGGCCCCGGACGCAGGACCCAAGGACCCACATGAAACCCTAAACCCTAAACCCTAAACCCTGAATAGAGCCTTGACGATAAACCGTAACTAACCCCTAAACCCTAACGCCAAACCCTAATTTCGGGAATTATTCTTATTTGCCGAATTTGGATTTCAATTAACTTATGTACTTTCAAAGGAAACAGCAAGCGGGGCTTAGTCAGGAGACCCTAAACCCTAAACCCTAAACCCTAAACTCTATTACACCCGGAAGCCCAAAACCCCAGCAACGCCCCAACAGCTTTTAATATGCTTTTTTAATTCAAAAGAAAAAGGCTGTCATGGAATACTGGTCAGCTGCCCGGAGATCCGAAACCCTAAAAAAGTGTCTAGGGTTTAGGGTTTAGGGTTTAGGGTTTAGGGTTTGTCTAGATGGCCAGTGCCCACAAAGTGCCTCTTTTGGCTAAGTTGCTTTTTGTTCTTTTTTCGTTTTTATTTTTTATTCTTTTTTTGTCTTTTTGTTTCTTTGTTGCTGGGTCTTGAGGTGTACGTACACCTGAACAGAGAACCGCGTGTGCTTTGGCGCACTTCCCTAGACCCTAAACCCTAAACCCTAAAGAAGACCATTAAGTGCACTAAGAAGAATTATTTTTAATTTTGAACAATTAGTCTCTTTAAATGCATTTACAAATGCATTTAGAAGCATTTTCCATTCAAACTGAATTCTCAAAATAAAACTTTGCAAATAAATCCAATCAAATGCCTTTTTGTCCATTAGAGTGTACAAACACAAAAATCCAAATCTGGGAAAAATGCATGCAAGCAAATGGGACGGCCAGGTGTATGTACAGTGCATGCGCATGCACATGAATGCAAATGTTATTTTGATATTGAATAGTATAAATAGACACTTATATATTTGTCTACGTGTACATATATTTATATTTATATTTATATTTATTTATTTATTTATTTATTTATTTATTTATTTATGCATTGATGCATTTAAATATTTTTGAATTCGAAAATCCGTGTGTCTATACACTTCAGCACTCGCGGTGTACGTACACCCCAGCGCTCTTCACCGCCTTTTTCCTCTTTTTCCACTTTTGTTATTTTGTTTCTTTTTTGCACTTTTCGGAGGCTCGCGGCTCTTCACGGCGTCCAGACACTGAGCCACAAACCCTAAACCCTAAACCCTAAACCCTAAACTCTGAACCCTAAACCCTAGGCACTAAGCACTAAGCCCTAAACCCTAAACCCTAAACGCTAAACGCTGACGTACCTTCTTGTCATCTTCAGCGAGGACCTGTTGCAGCGCAATCTCCGTGTGGAGCTTCTCCCTCAAGTCCTGTAGCGCAAACCCCAAACCCTAAACCGTAAACCCTAAACCCTAAACCGTAATAATGGTGTTAGGCACTTGCACTCTGTGCCATCAACTTGTACTTTCTAAACAGCAGTTACGGCTACTGGCTCTCGGCTCAGGGTTTCTTCAGGCATTAGAGCTAAGGGTTTAGGGTTTAAAGTTTAGGGTTTAGGGTTTAGGGTTTAGGGCTTGATGCACCTTGATGATGCAGTTCTTGAGTTTCTCCTCAGACTCGGCAAGCCCTTGCGCTGCCTGGGGCACAAACCGCCTAAACCTTAAATCCCCTAAACCCTAAACCCTAAACCGTAAACCCTAAACGCTAAAGCCTAAACCCTACAACTTATCTTGTCCAGCCTTTTGCCTAACAAGCCAAGCACTGGCACCTTCTACCTTAGTTTGCAAGTTAAGATCTAGAGTTCAGGGTTTAGGGTCTACGATGTAGGGTTTAGGGTTTAGGGTTTAGGGTTTAGGGTTTGCGCTACCCGCAGCTTGGCTTCGTAGCGTTTACATTTCTTTTCATCCCTTGCAATTTCTTTCTTCAGTTTCAAAAAGTCTATAGCCACCAAATTAGGAGGAAGCGCAGCAGCAGCAAACCCCCCGACTGCTGCTGCTGTTGCTGCTGGCCTTGCTGCTGCTGCTGCTGCTGCTGGCTTCTGCTGCAGTCCCTGCCTTGATTCTACCCCTTGCCTCTGGGGGCCCCAAGGGGCCCCCTTAGACCTCAGGGGGCCCCAGGGGGCCCCCTGCTTGGCCATTTCTGGGGCCCCCGCAGTTGCCTTATTGTCTGCAGCAGCAGCAGCAGCAGCAGCAGCTCCTGAGGGCCCCTCGGGGGGCCCCTCGGGGGGCCCCTCAGGGGGCCCCCTGCTTGCAATTGCTGCGCATGCTAGGCTTACAAAGAACTCTTCATCTTTAATGGACTCCAAAGGATTCCGAAAAGCAAAATAACGAAATTCAAAAGGGGCCTTTTGGGGGCCCCCAGGGGCCCCAAGGGCCCCCTCAGGGGCCCCCCCAGGGGCCCCAGGAGCCCCTGGGGCCCCCGTGGCCCCTGTACCCTTTTGGGGGCCCCCAGGGTCCTGCTTAGGGCTCTCAGGGCTGCAAGGCCCGCTGGGGCCCTGGGGTCCCCCAGGGCCCTCAGGGGCCCCAGGGGCCCCGGGGCCCCCAGGGGCCCCGGGGGCCCCTGGGGCCTCTGGAGGGTACTGGGGGGC